GGCGGAACTACAGTGCCGCCAGACCCCGCAATGCGGGGGGGGGGGGGCCAGGGGCAGTTTAGGGGCCCACAGCCGACCATAATTTATATAAATATATAGCAGAGGTGTAGCGAGGGGGGGTGCAAATCGAAAGTTTGGGGGTTTGAGGGGGGGGGGGTGCAAATCGAAAGATTTTTAGGGGGGGTTCAAATCGAAAGTTTGAGAGGGGTGCGAATCGAAAGTTTGAGGGGGGGGTGCGAATCGTAAGTTTGTCCCCGGGCGCCGGGAAGGGTCGCTACGCCTCTGATATATGGGGGCCCAAAAGAATTTTTTGCGGGGTGGCCCTAATTTTCTAGTTCCGCCACTGATTACAGGTACTTTTATTATCCTTTTCATAATCAATTCATTTTTAGTTCAGAATGGTAATAATATAACTAAAAACATGGCTTTAACTCACGGAAAAGTACAAATTTAATACCCAGATTTTTTCCTAATAAGCATGCTTTATAATTTTATTGAGTCCACAGTGCTGTTGTAGTTTATCATCTTAAAAACAGCGTAAGACGGCTGGTCCTAGAACTTTCCACTTGCAAGTTATTTTTAAAATCGGTATTTTAAATCATTATTTACTAGTGATAGATGGACTGTCCTCATTTTCGCTTGTGGTTCCAAACTAGGTTCTTTAAAAACAGTCGGGCTTTATTCCATAAACGATGCACACAATATACAACTATTGATATCAAATAAAATGAGAACATAGAAATGAACACTTTAACCTCTGGATATGGTGATGCATACGTTATAGAATAGTTGAGTGAAGTTGAGATGTTATCAAGGGAAGTAAACAACGCTTTTATATATTTGCAAGCAGCCGCTTCGCTTGATTAAACATGTACATTTAACGCATTCAACAGTGACCTAATATTTGAATCAATAGGTCGAGAAACTACGTGACTGTTCCCACGTAAGAAAAGTTTATTATCAAACTTGTTAATAAATGTACCCTGTAACAGTCAATGGGGACGGAGTGGTCTAGCGGTAGAGAGCTCGACTGCTAACCCGCAAGTTTCGAATCCGAGTTCAAGTCAGTAGATTGTCCCTGAGTCCACCCAACTCTGATGGAATCTAACTCAGGTTAGGGAAAATAAAGGCGGCTGGGCATAGAGCTGACCACAATATCTCTTCATATGTCGAGGTCACAGGAACAAGTAAACTCTACTTCACTTGCCCTATAGACCGTCAGGTTTGAAAATGGTACTTTATTTTACTAATCAGTCAATACAATAGATGCAGTGTATGTGATCATCATATGTATTTTTTAAATTCAAAATTTGGCAACCTTTTGCTTCGGCAGCCGATGGATATACAATCAGAGGTAAACTTCTATATGGTGCTAACCTCATGGCCTAAGATGGTTTTTCTATGCATTGTGATTTCTCGCCCCAATGAATTTTTAAGCAATTCATCTTGTCACTACTTGCTTGCAGAAGTAGTTGAAAGTTTTGTTTTATGCATTACTACACCTATCATCCCATTGCCGTGAAACATTGAGAAGTTGATGGAAATACTACTGAGAAGGTTTTTGAGAAAAAATAATTAAATTTCAGAGATGCGGCGACCAGGCAGGTTGCGATTTGACGTGATTGTAAGTCTCCTTGCAACCTATTATTTTTGAGAATTAGGTTTGAATCTATGCATGTGTTATGGTAGTGGGCTAATAACACTATATTCTCAGGGACCAAAGATGCTGCCAGCAAATAACAATTGTTTTTGTTTAGTTGACCAGCCGAGTATATTTTTTTCTTTGGTTTTTTTCTTTCTCTCTCTTTTTTTTTTTGCCTCAGACATGTAATTTATGTCATCAGTTTATCATTCCATGTTCACTTAAGTATTACAGCTTTCATCTTCGGCCCGTGAGGACTGATAAAGATTTTCAAAAGTAATAGGCCTACTTCTTTCTGATTTTATGAGCGTTCAACATAAAAAATGTCTTAAGTATAAATAACAATAATCAGTTTAAATTTTTTAGTTTCAATTATAAAATATAGACGACAAACAATAAAGTCACTATATGTTAAAGTTTAGTGAAGAACACATATTTTTACACATATATTTTAATAATAAAAAAAAATTATAACATATTTTTTTTTATTGTAGAAAAAATCTTTATGTATTCAAAACTACACTAGTGAATATATTTGTAAGTTGTTTCCCTTAGTTAATTCAAACCATAAATGGGAAACAACTAATATAAATCATGCTTGAATTATTTTTAGTCGAAGGAAATCCATTTTCAAACGTTTCTAAATAAATAGAATATTTGATGCCTACCTACAAACAACACACATATCTTCTTTGGACGACCCGCCCCCACTCTCTTTATCTCCAGCATAATTAGTCCTTTGTATGTATATATATATATATATATATATATATATATATATATATATATATATATATATATATATATATATCTACCGAAATCTGCCAGCTATGCAGGCTTGCGTATGTGTATGTTTATGTGTGCTTTTCGGTTATGGAGAGCTGTGCTGTTGTATGTATATGGGGGTGTGTTCTAGTATTGGACACATACATCGATTATGTAATTAAACAAATTGTATTAATAAAACCAAAATGGTGTCACTAGGTCGGGTGTCATCAACACCTGTAACACCATGTGTTATTCAATTTGTGAGTGGTGTCATTAGTGTATTCGCTGTTAAAAAAGACAAATTTCGTCTTAACCTCGACCCCCCATCCCCTCTCTCTTGCAAGAAAATGTACTTAACTAATTATTTAGACCGTAAAGTAAAAACTTTTTTTTTGTTAGTTTGTGGGTTTAAATGCAAATCTTGTAACTCAATTTTGATCCACTTATAATACTGCAAATGTTCTCTGATGAAAAATTTTACGTATTTTACCGATAAAAGTTTTCATTAAAAAAAGCAAATAATTAATTTTATTTTCTTATTATCAGCGCATTTAAAAGCTAGTTGCTATATAGCTTTTTTAATATTTTTTTTCTGAGTACATTTTAACAGTTTTTAACGTGTAGTAGTGCCCAGTGTGTCACCCAGAATAAATTGAATAAATTGAACACCTCCTTTACTGACGCCACTGACGCCACGTATGACATCTATACCATCTGTGATAAGCGTCAGTGAACGTTGACAATGCCACCTTGGTATATGGGATAGAATACACAATTTATTATTTATGAGGTTCACTTGACTCGTGAACAGGGTCAATAATGAAGAACATATAACTAGCTTTTCCTTTTATTCCATCATTTGCAATGTTTTGATTTAATTTTAACTCGACATATATCGCCTATGTGTCGACGCAGAGAGTGGTTCTATTTTTTTTCTGTAAGTTTTTAGTGGTTTTTATAATATGAATTTAGTTTAATTTAAATTAACTATTTAGTTTTAAAATAATTGTGTTATATATAAGATGTTACTACTTATTTTAACGCTATAATATGTCTAGTTGATATGCTTATATCCAGGGGCGTAGCGAGGGGGGGGCGGGGGGTGCGGACCGCACCGGGTGACACCATTTAGGGGGGTGACACCAAGGCAAAAAATAGCAAAATATATAGAGAAAAACTTGAGGGGGGGGGGGTGCAAATCGAAAGTTTGAGGGGGGGCGGGTGCTCATCGAAAGTTTGAGGGGGGTGTGCAAATCGAAAACTTGAGGGGGGGGATGCAAATCGAAAGTTTGAAGGGGGGTGCTAATCGAAAATTTGAAAGTTTGTCCCCGGGAAGGGTCGCTACGCCTCTGGGGGGGGGGGGGGGGTGACACCATTAAGTGCCGCACCGGGTGACACCCGACCTCGCTACGCCACTGCTTATATCTACGTTCACTATGAAGACATATATCGCTACGTTGATTAGATCTGTGGTACAGTGTGGTCGGATGGTAGAGCATACGGCTTAATCCTGTGGGACGTCCATAAATCAACCCATCAATGCTGGGTATCTGGCTTTAAGAAAACTAAGACGGCTGGGCATAGTGCTGACTACTATCCCGATAATATATTTAAACAGAGGAACTCTACTTCATATAAACCATGTGTCTAGGGTACGAACGGAAAGAAGATGAAATGTGAAAATCAAATCATTGTATGGGTTGTTTTTTTAATAAATACGCGACATTAATTGGGTAATACACACACATAACAAGTCGCTTCCACTTTAAACATGTTCCTTAAGAATTAAAGTGTCCTCTAAATACCCAAATATCGAACACTAACTAAGTCAACAGCCTGGCAAAACATTGAATGCATCAAACCTGTTTAATAACAAGTAAAACACAAATGTAGCAAGCAAATAAAGAAAATAGTTTGCTGCTTATAACAGTTTTAAATGAAAAAAAAAATGGACTAATTCCTTAAAAGGAGTAAAACAACGTTCAAGAAAACTCAAAGTTTGTCGTTTGTTTTGTCGGAGTCATGATGTATAGAAACACCAAGAGGAAAAAATTCTCGCATTAAGTGATTCATCGCAACGATTGTGCATTTTTACTTATTCTTTTGCAGAAAATTATAATATTTATATATATATATATATATATATATATATATATATATATATATATATATATATATATATATATATATATATATATATTTATATATATATATATATATATATATATATATATATATATATATATTACTTTATTTACAGAATGAACGATAAAAGATATCAGTTTCTACACAATAAAACTGAAATATGGGCAGTTATATCTCTATAAAATACTGTTTTATTTCTCTTATGGCAATAAGCCTACTTTTACTTTACGCTAATCATTTAAGCTTGCTAACACTTGTTAATAAACTTACAAAGCTTCAGTACTTCTTCTCTGCGAGTACCAACTCAATCCATATCTATACTAGCAAAGCTTTAGACTACAACGATGCAAAATGGATTCAGGAAACAGCTGCTTCTTTCAAAGTAAAGAATTTCAGTTGTCTAAAACTGTTTCAGAACGACACAAAGCATTTACAAGAAGCAAAAATGTGGAGACGAAATATCACGTCGAAATATTCCAATGATTATTATTTGACAGTGACAACGGATTGTCACAATTTCCAGATGTCACGTGGGTACATCAGGTCGACCTTGACCCGGGAAGAAGAAGAGTTCCCCATCGCGTACACCATCATGGCATACAAAGACTCTGAAATGGTTGAGAGGCTACTGCGGGCTATCTACAGACCACAGAACTATTACTGTATTCACGTGGACAAAAAAGCACCAGAGGGATTTTATCTGACAATTTCGGCCATAGCTCAATGTTTCCCTAACGTTTTTCTGACGTCCAAGAGAATTGATGTCAAATGGGGTCAGTTCTCTGTTCTAGAACCTGAGATAATCTGTATGAGAGAACTCTTTCGCTACAAGAAATGGAAATATTTTATCAATCTGACTGGGCAAGAGTTTCCGTTAAAAACAAACTACGAGATTGTCAAAATACTGAAAGCATTTAGAGGTGCCAATAGCATTAATGGAACCATAAAATAGTAAGTTTTAATTTCATACAGGTAAACTTTTTTTTTACATTTTTCAAAAATCATATAGGGGGGGGGGGGAGAAATGTGCTTAAAGTAAGGAAATAAAATATAGAACAACACGGATTAACAGTTAATACCTGGAGTTTTCGACATTAAATTTTAAGAAATTTAAAATAATTTTATTTCTCCCAACTTAGAAGACAACGTTTATCTATATATTTTACAACCTACATAAAAACATTCCTTTCCTTTTTATTAACATTGTGATTGTTTTTATCGGACCAAGTCTGAAACCAAGTTTGCTCGATTAAATTAACAACTCGGTTGTTTTCTTGGCAGTGCGTACTCGTCAAGATGGAGAGGGAAAAAACCTCCAGATGGAATCCGTTTAGTTAAAGGATCTGTGCATATTGTTGCCAATAGGTTCGCTGCATTAATTCTAGTACAAAGCATACAGTAGCCGATACATTATATGACTTAATTTAAAAAAAAACAACAAGTAATATCATTTTATTAATATTATAATTCTAAATATATTTTTAAATTTAATACTATTTTTGAGGAAATAATTTAATAAAATAAAATATCCGATCAAAAACCAAATATCATTTATATTAGGCCTATGTGTCTAAACAAATCTGATGTTTTGCGTACATTTTGGTTTATATTTTTATATTTTCCAAATAATTGTAGTTACAGAAAGCTGCGTTCATTAAGAACACAAATAATACCAAACAATACACAAATAATAACAAATTATACCAAAAGTATCTCATGCTATGATTTAGAGACTTTGTGAGATTTGTACTCTACAATGGGGTTGCTTACAAGTTTCAATCCTGGACCAAAGGTACCGAGATTCCTGATGAAACATTCTTTCCTTCACTGAACTTTAACCCACAGCTGGGGTTAAAGGGCACTTACAAAGGTACGTGATTCCTGATGAAACATTATTTCCTTCACTGAACTTTAACCCACAACTGGGGTTAAGGGCACTTACAAAGGTACGTGATTCGTTCATTGTGTAACGTTGCGAAAACAAAAGTTGCCTCTTTTTAACGTAACAGCTAGACTTTCAGAATAAAACCTGCTGCGTATACATATTTTATTCACTAGTCGGTATTGTTTTCTCTTGAGTGTAAGGGGTGATACACACAATTTAACAACAGTACAAGGAAATGGCCAATACAGAAACAACTGCCCCTATTTATGCTTGCTTTCTCAAACCCTCTGATCCTTTAATTACCTACTACCCTGAGACATGAGTTGTTTCTAGGCATCTGTTCGTCGGTGGTGGGTACTGTGAACAATTGTGTACCCCGCCCCCGAAGAAAATATAATTTATGTAGAAAATATATACTTTTACCAGTATCCACCCCCTCCCAGAAAATTTCAAGTGCGTCCACCCCATCGCCGGAGAAACAAGTCTGGAAGAAACACTGTCTTAGACGACTGTTTTAAATATTACCCTTAGTACAAATGACTCAATTGTTAATTACTAATTTCATTTATGCACATTTTCAAGTTCTTTAATAAAGACGTAGGGTACCTATAATTTTTAGGGTATTAAAAATCCCTCAACATAACTTTCAAAACGATAATTAATCAATTTACTTTAAGACATTTAATAGGGTTTAGGTTTATGCACTTGGTTGGATATTATTCTGTAAAACATTTCCCTGGTAAACAATTTGCCGTGTTAATTATTGCTAAAATGATTATGTAATCAATAGTTCTTATATTCATATATTAATATATTGACATGTTTATAATGTTTTTATCTGTTCAGCATTATATTTATATGTTGAACTAATCATGCGTTTATGTATGCGTTCATGTATTTATGAGCCTGTAATATGTCGTCTAACTGTCAGGTAATCCGGATGATGTGTATGAGTTTATAGCCAGGTACAAGATATGGTCTAACACTACTGGGGATGTCTGTGACGGTGTATTTGTTAGAGGAATCTGTATACTGGGTACAGGTAAGGACATATGGTTACACATATTTATACGTGAGAAACTTACTTTAAATAACACAATATATTTTGTACAAAATATCTGTAGTCACAAACAGAGCCGCATAGGCATACAAACATACATATGTATACAGCATTTGTTTGAGTTATCTGTATTTGACAATTTACAACAGAATTGACACAAAAGGTAAAAACACAGACACAAACGCATACATATATTTACACACATGCACACACACACATGTATATATATATATATATATATATATATATATATATATGCGTGTGTGTGTATGTGTGGGTTTCTGTAAGTGTATTTGTCATCCTTCCCTGCTTTCATTATATCTCTAGCACAAACATTAATTTGCACCTAATTACCCCCGAAAAGCAACTCAAAACAGTTTGTTTGTGTAATTTATAATTTCAATGTTTCATTCTGTCCTCAGGGGATCTACCCAGGCTGGGCCAAGCCAAAGAATTATTCGCCAACAAATTTTACCTACACGAAGACAGGCTTGCGATTGGTTGTCTGGAGGAGAAGATCTTCAACGACACGCGCGATGTGTACATGGGGGTCAAGGTCGTCAACACCAGCTTTTATGAACGTTTGAATTTTGTTCAACATCAGGTGGAATAAAGTACCTGGGGAATGGGGGGGGGGGGGCAGTGACTTCAACACCAGCTTTTATGAACGTTTGAATTTTGTACAGGATCAGCTGGAAAATAGTACCTGGGGGGGGGGGGGGGGGTCAGTGACTTCAACACCAGCTTTTATGAACGTTTGAATTTCGTACAAGATCAGGTGGAAAATAGTACCTGGGGGGGGGGGGGGTCAGTGACTTCAACACCAGCTTTTTTGAACATTTGAATTTTGTACAGGATCAGGTGGAAAATAGTACCTGGGGGGGGGGGGGGGGGTCAGTGACTTCAACACCAGCTTTTATGAACGTTTGAATTTTGTTCAACATCAGGTGGAATAGAGTACCTGGGGGATGGGGGGGGGGGGGGGGGCAGCAGCTTCAACACCAGCTTTTATGAACATTTGAATTTTGTTCAACATCAGGTGGAATAGAATACCTGGGGGGAGGGGGGGGGGGGAGGGTTTAAAAGACTTCAACACCAGCTTTTATGAACGTATTAATTTTGTTGTGTTAGATTATTAGCATTTTAGTGATTTTGTTTGCTTTGTCACTAATATCATTCAACGTGTAGAAAAGCTGATACAGAAGTACACATTTGATAATACTACTTATATATGCAATTTCATCAACCTAGCTGTATCGGTACTTAAGTTATCGTGTTCACAGACACACATACACACATACATACACACTGAAATATTGACAAATTGCAAAACTGTGTTTTTCCGTCTCATTGTGGTGTAAAACGTCGAGATTTGTAAAATCTCGTTTTTTGCAGTATTATAATACTTCCTCTATATATGTATATGAGAAAGTATAAAGGTAAATTATCTGATTTATTATATTCACTAAAGTGCTAAATATAAAGTTTGAATTTTTTTTTTTATAAAAATCAGAATTAGAAATCATCTTAAATACAACTAAAGACTATTTACACTCGTTGGGAAAATATAAAAAAATAATGTCAACACAACTGAATTTCATATTGATGACTCGATACATATATATATATATATATATATATATATATATATATATATATATATATATATATATATATATATATATATATATACATACATATACATTCCGATCTATTCATATTTATATGGATTTAATGTAAGAAATGTTACTGGTTATGAATTAAATGACATTTATGTTATATTATTTTATATAGCCGTTTTCTTCCAAATACAGAAGGGATATGTGATCGATAACACTATGAATAGCAAATTTAAAATATAATCGAAAGCTTTTCAGCAGGATGGGTTAACAATTGTCTTTGTGTAAGTAGCTGTACACGTTAAGGTTCAGTTGGTCTAGGGTAGATGGTATGGGATCTAGTAGCTGAGTTCCAGTGTGTTGACTGATCGAAAAAAGTGATAAAAATATAAAGATCGCAAACAAAGGTTTAGGTTCTATGGCTCAGTTGAACATCTTGGTGTGCTGGAGAATTAGATATACTAGTACCTCTTGAAGAACAAACTAGCTGTTACATCATGTATAATCGTTAAGGAATAGCAAACTAACATAGATGAATGAGATAATTATTTAGGGAACACAAAATAACATAACAATCACTATGTTGATAATAACCAGACATTTATAAATAGTTGCCTTAAACAGATACTCATGATCCGCTGGCCTGAAATCATCTGTAAATAACACCTAGGGATATACGACAAGTCGAGTCTCCGCTTATAAAGAAATTAAGAAAAGAAGATGGGCACACACTGCGCAGATCATCAACCAACATCACCAATCACCAGGCAGGCATTGAGGTAGAACCCTCATGGAATGTGCAAAATATGACGATCAAGAAACCCCTGGCGAAAGGAAATGCTGAATCTACTAAGATGGGCTACACCTGGAGTCAGGTTGAGAAAATGGCACAGGATAGAGCTCTGGAGATCTGTGGTTGGCGGCCCATACCCCAGCAGGACAGAGGAATCTGGAGATGTTTGGTTGGCGGCCCATACCCCAGCAGGATAGAGGACTCTGGAGATCTTGGTTGGCGGCCCATACCCCAGCAGGACAGAGGACTCTGGAGATCTTGGTTGGCGGCCCATACCCCAGCAGGACAGAGGACTCTGGAGATCTTGGTTGGGGGTCCATACCCCAGCAGGACAGAGGACTCTGGAGATCTTGGTTGGGGGTCCATACCCCAGCAGGACAGAGGACTCTGGAGATGTTTGGTTGGCGGCCTATACCCCAGCAGGACAGAGGACTCTGGAGATCTTGGTTGGGGGTCCATACCCCAGCAGGACAGAGGACTCTGGAGATCTTGGTTGGGGGTCCCATACATTAGCAGGGGTGACGGGCAATTTTGAAAGTCATTCAACTTAATACTAATAATTTGCTAATCATTAGGGGACAATTAACGAACATATCGATTATTGCTTGTCAGTAGCAAACAACAGGCAAACTGCTAAACGTATGCTATTCATTAAAGAACAACCCATTTAGAGCTAATCAATATAGAGCATACGTTTACGTGACATCCCACCCTTAAAACACACTTGAATAACTAATTCTATTCAGCCTTTATAATCTACACCACCTACTATATTATGTATACAGTTGTTAAAAGATTGGTTTAGGTTTAGGTCTGAAACACGACGAAAGACTTCACATTCGTGCAGCTTCTATTCTAATTATTTGGATCTAAACAGAGGTTTTTGATATGTTGTAGAAATTTACATTTTAAAACATGGGACACTTGCAGTGTTTCTTCTGGTTACAGATTATATTTTTCGGTAAGTGCACTAGTTATGTTAGAATAGTAAAGGAAATCATAATCACAGACATTTGAGTTCATTTATTTTTTGTCGGTAACAACATTTCGTTCGTTCCTATTGACAAAACTAAAGTAAATAAATTTTATGTTCCTTATTTTTAGCTCTTATTTGTTAGCTTAATTTTTTCAAATAAATTATATTTTTATTGTGAACTAGATTATTACGAAGCAGAGTTTAACTGATTGTAAAATCTTGATAAAAATGTATAATGTTTAAAGTGAATAGAATCCTACGTTACTCTGGGCAGGTGAAGTAGATCTCACCTGTTTCAGTGACCAGAGACGTATTCAGGGATAGTGTAGTCAGCACTATGCCCAGAAACATTTACATTTCCTTAGCTTAAGTCATGTACACATAAGAGCTGACCGCACCCAGGGCTGTCTCGTAGACTCAAGCCGGAGTTCTGAATCAGAGACATTCAAGTTACAAGTCGTATGCTCAATCATCCTACCATCCACCTTCTCTAGAACACAGCTAATAATTTACCTCACATGGTGTAAAATATATAACAAGACTTATATTGAGGTGCTCAAAATGTAAAAATATGTAGCAAGAGTTATATTCGGGTGTAAAAATTGTAAAAATATATATCAAGAGTTATTAATCTATATCAATTATTATATAGCGACTCATTAAGTGTCCACTATATAGATTAATAGCTACATAGGGAAATGATTAGATTCGTGCCTTAACCATTACATTTTACATTGTCAACATGGGGTAAGCTACATCACCGTAGTAAAATGGGAACAAGATTTCAAGTCAATAAAATTATAAAGAATATGTTTTATTCAAATTTTAGGCCGCGCTGTGTCTGACCCTTGCTCATACATCCAAGGCTCGAAACACGTCAATCAAAAATGTTTTAAGGTCTACAATATAGTCCTGACGTGGCAGAAAGCACAGGTAAGGTTGGTAATGGAACGGTACAGGTAAGCTTGGTAATAGAAAGGTACAGGTAAGGTTGGTAATGATACGGTACATGTTAGTGTTGGTAATCCAAATGTACAGGTAAGTTTGGTTATCTCAAGACACAGGTAAGGTTGGTAATCTAAATGTACAAGTAAGGTTGGTAATGGAACGGTACATGTTAGTGTTTGTTATCCAAATGTGCAGGTAATGATGGTAATGGAGCGGTACATTCTAGTGTTGGTAATCCAAATGTACAGGTAAGATTGGAAATCCAAATGTACATGTATGGTTGGTAATTTAAGTAAGGTTGGTAATTTAAAGACACAGATTAGTGTTAGCAATCTTAATGCCATGCTAGTAGTTAACCAGTTGTCCCTTCCTTTTCTTCTATGATTATTCTTGTAAATTTAACAAACTACTTTGATAACGAATATGTTAACAATCTTTCTAATAAACGGGGACGCTTGTAGCGGAGCTAAACACGATCTATTTTTAATAATTATAGTGTTTAATCTTTGCTTCCCACCCTAATGTTAAAGGGGTCAAAATACTTGAAATTTATTTAAAATGAAACACGGTTTTGTAGAAATATGTAGAGATACATACTAAATCCATCTAGTCCGATTTCAAAGATTTTAATATACATTATTCCTAAAACCTGTCATTTTGCGAAAGAAAAATAATTTTGTTTACTTATTATGAGCATGAAGTTAATTCTTTATTAAACTTTTTGTTTCACAATTGGCCAGGATTTTTGTGCAAGCGTATACAACGGAACGTTGGCCGAGTTGATAACATTCGATGAAATAAATTTGGCCAAGATATTGTACCTTCAGTACGCTCAATCCCGTGAGTACAATTATTACGTCGAAAAAATGTTTCTTAGAAATTATTCAAAGCAGTTTCATAACACTTACACTACAATGTCGCACCGAAATAATAATAGCTAGTTGATAAAAAATGTAATTACTAAGGCATTGTATCTAGAAACTCGAAGTGAGATTTTAAAATATATCTAAGATATGTATAGCCATTTATTTCAAATGTAATAGCAGTTATACTAATTACTAAAAATGCTGAAAATAAAAACAAAAAATGTAAAAACAAATTTTCGTGGCATGTAACAATATTCGATCGAGTGGTACACTTACTAAAGTTTACATCATCACTAATTATATATATATATATATATATATATATATATATATATATATATATATATATATATATATATATATATATATGTGTGTATATATATATATATATATATATATATATATATATAT